ATCATACTACATTGATTCGTATAATATATGCATAGTCTTCAAATAAAAATGTATACATATGCGTATACTCACAGACGTACGCACTCAGAGTCTACATCTACCTACCTAGTAGTCTTCGAATAAAAATGTATACATACGCGTATACTCACAGATGTACGCACTCAGAGTCTACATCTACCTACCTATACATGTATTCATTCAGCTTGCTTGGGAATAATTAAAGATAATGAGCATTTACCTCAACATTTGTAATCACCATTTCTCGAACAACATAAGCAATCGTACAGTCCTCAGAGTGGCATCTGACACGAAAGCTGCCATATTCCATTACATCTGGTGGATCAGGCCAATACTGATGACATTTGGTCTGTAAAGAAAACGAAGCACACATCAAGACTTTATACAAGCACTTTTGTTTCCAGCCTCCTCTCCTATGCTATGGTTCAGGGGATTCGAGGAACAGTATAAAATCTATTCTGGTTTGTTGATGACGTGTTTACGTCCAAATTAGAAAAATAACATGACAAAACAGGCTAAATTCTCTATAAACTTTTGTTTCAGTCATTTTAATAAAAATTCAGGTAAATTGGATGCAAGATGCTCTCTGTCTGGTACACAATCACAATCACTAAAATGACTTCTCAAGGCACAATGTAGGAGGAGAAACACATGCATTTGTTCCATCTTAAGAGGAAAAGTGCAGGGGGGAATTTATAACTATCTTCAGCCACCTAACAGGAGGCTTATAGCAAAGACAGAACACACTTTTCTTAAAAGTGAACAATGAAAGCACAAGAGGTGATTGAAAAAAAAATACAAAAAAGGGAAATTCTGATTAGGTGTTGGCAAAAAATATTTCAGTGGGGATGGTCAAGCACAGAAACAAGCTGCCCTATGGGGATGTGGAAGCTCCATCCATGAAAATAATCAAAACTTAACTGATATGACACTCTACAACCTGCGTGAACTTAAAGCTGCTCCTGCTTTGAGCAGAGAAGAATGGACCAGATATCTCCACAGCAAGGTATCTTTGAAGCATATCATGAAGCAAGATATCGTGGACCAGATATCTCCACAGCAAAATATCTTTGAAGCATATCATGAAGCAAGATATCTTGCTCCATATCTTTGAAGCAAGATCATGCTGGAATGCAAAAAATAGTGCAAAGCCACCTGTCCTCCCCTATTCCAACACCGAAGTCTCATGGC